TAAACTAACAGTAAAGTAATAAATAAACTTATATAAAACTCAAAAGTAATAACTCTAACAATGTTTCTAAAAGTAACAACTTCAGCAATAACAACAATAGCTTTAAATACAATAATACTAGTAGTAACTTAAAATATAATAACACCAATGATGATTTCAAAGATAAACAAATATATCAATATTGTTTTTTTTTTAAAAAAAATTAGATTTTTGAGGATCTTGAATCAAACTACAATCTATACATATTAGATAACTAATTGACAAATAACATATATCATTTGAAAATTGGTATCTAATATATATTAAATTAGATTTGATACAAGAATCAATCTGAAATACAATATATATACTAGATAAATGGAAGCTATTTAAAATCTGAAAAACTTATTACAGATTAGTCTAACAATAGATATTTTTTAAAGCAAATATTAGTTTTTATCAGATCAACTAATTAAAACTCTTAATTTGTAAATATACACACAACCAGGTTATTATTGTATAACTCTTCTATAATGTCTTTTGAACAATTAATATAAATTTACAATATTGTTAATAGTTTTTTATTAATCTACAAGTTGTTGGTAGCAAAAAGTTTTTTTTTTATTAAATAAGATACTAGTTAAATAAATAAAACAAATCAAACAAATCAAAATACAAAATTGCAAAATCTAATACATGAATAATGAGTTACACCTTGGTTAGCTTAGAAATAGATGGCAGTTGTGACCAGAGGGTTTAAATGAGTATCCCCATAGTTGGGATACAAATATGGTAGCTAGTGTGGAGCCTAGGGCAGACTACTTAAATAGACAACCAAAAGTTGCATGTATGGCTAGTCGTACTCTCATTAGTAATAATCAGAGAGCTTAAATAGGTAATCTCCTAGTTAGGTTGCAGGTATGGCGGCTAGTGTAGAACCCAGGCGGACTACTTAAATTAGGTACCAAAAGTACACGTGTGGCTAGTTGTATCCTCATGAAAATTGATGTAATATCGTATTTATCTGAATAAAGCCAAGTGCTGGGGGCCTAAGTGGTCACCTTAATATTAAAAAAAAAAAAAATTATTATCATGAATATATACATCCGTAAAGTCATATAATAATATTAAATAGTATATTAATAGCATTTAGATTATACATATTTAATATAAAGTTTTTGATTTTAACTAGTAAATGATACTAACTGCTTAAATTATTTGTTCAGTTGCATCACATTTATTGCTAGCTTTATATAGTTTTTTTACATAGTCTTTATGCAGAGTTTTATAAGTTTCTGCTATAAATCCGTTAATTGTGTCATATTCCTTTATTGCTACAATTATATAATAGCACCAATTATGTAACTTGGATAGTCTAAGTTGTGAAAGTGAATACTTTATAAAAAGTTTTAAAAACAACTTTGCCTAATGCATAATCAAATTCTAGAAATAAATTAAATTATTTGTTATATATCGATATAGATAATTATATATTTATTAATTAATATAAAATTCATACTTTAAGCTTTAAAAGATCTGATTCAAGAAAAAATTCTTTTTGGCAAAATAAATATATTTTATTCCATTGGTAATAAATATCAACTAATATATTATCATAATGCTTTGCAACACTTGCTTCTATTGAAGCTTTGTAATGTTTTATAATTAAATCCTCAACAATAAATAAAAATACTTTCATTATATTACAATACTTATTGACTATAAATTGTTTAATGTTTTTAGACTCTCACTAAATATTTTTAATCCTGGGAACCTTTGAATATTCGATAGGTGCTGATCAAGCTCATTAATTGCAGCTTAATTGCAAAAGTCCTTTAGCATTTCCCTTGTATAAACTATCTGATAATTAAACAGCCCTAGATCTAAATGATGCATTTTATCTGAAACAGTAGCTAAGTAAATATCTAGTTGGCTTAATAAAATATTAAAAAAAAATAAATAAATAAATATATATTACTGGTAAAAAATTAATATATATATATTGAATAGTATTTTTTGAATACTATTCGATATGCTATTAACAACCTACTATTTAACATTACCTTATAGCTTCACAAATAATAATATTGAATAGTAGATTGTTAAATAATGCTATTCAACATATTTTAAGTCTATTTGTCAAATTTAAATAAACACTTATGGATATTTCCAAAGTGTATTTTCTATATTATATAAAAAAAATTGATGCGCAAGTTCTTGTTTCACAATATTTTTCATTGAATTTGGAGTTCTCAATATCATTTGACTATTACTCAACTTAATGTTATTTAACTTCTCATTTAATACTAGACATTTATAACAGGGATTTTTATAGTTAACTGAATTATATATCAATGTTAATGATGAATGCTCTGGAAGATTTCCTATTAATGTTAATATAAATAGATAACACCAGAGATTGCCATAGTCTGTTTTAAGATCAAATCCATTTTCTTTATAATCAAGTAGCGGTTCTAGCATAATATCTAATGCATAAAGATATAGAGATTGTTTAGCAAATATAAAAGTTTTTGATTTTTTTTGAGATATTGTTTTTGCTTTTAATAGTAGGAGGTAGCCCAAGAGGACTTTAAAATCAAATAAATTATAAAGCCAATTTGGTATATTTCCTAATATTAAATAAACAAGATGCTTGTTTGCTTTACCAAATTGGTCACATATTGTTGTATTAGAGTAAAGAATTAATGATAAAATATTTGCATCTTTTGGGATAGATTTTGCTGCTCTTTCTCACCAGTCACTACTATATTGCTCATGATAAATCCTTTTTTCTTTATGATATGCTGGAGTAAATTTAAAAATGCAATGTTTAATTATATTTTCATTATTCAACAATTCTTTGATAGCATCAAAGATTGAATAATAGTTAAGATAATATGTTTCTTCTTTATAAATTATAATAGGTACTTTTTTAAAAGAGGCATGTGGCACTATTATTTGATCTAAAAACTGAAGGCCTTGTTTTACTAAAGTAAGTAATACTACTTTATTATCAGATATTTTTTTTGCAAACTTAAATATTTTATTCTTGCATGTATCTACAGATTCCATTTAATAAGCAATTTTATAAAATTGCCAAATTTATTGCTTGAAAAGTTAGAGTCTTCATTATGTATTGATATAGTAATATCAAGTGACTCAAAATTAAAGACAGCTCTACATCAAGTAATAAATGTTCTTCCTAATATATATATATATATAACAAGTTAATTATATACATATAATTAATTATGTACATATGTATATAAACACACTGATATTCCTTTAAAAATTTTTTCTTTAATTAAAGTGTCTCCTTCATTATTATTATTATTATTATTATTATTATTTTTTTCTTTTTTTTTTTAATTAATTATATATAACAATAAAAAAAACAAGTGATTTTTAATATAAAAAAATGATATATATATTAGAGTTAATACTTGGATCTGGATTTAAATATGCAGGCATATTCTACTCAGAATTTGTTTCAAAAATTATTGTGACAATACAGATTAAATCCGGATCCAAGTATTAACTCTAATATAAATAAAATAAAGTTTATTTGTTATATATAGAAAGTTATACAAACAATAGCTTATTGTTCTTATTGTTTATACAACTTCGACTATATATATATTTACACTATATTTACTATTACTTGATCATTTATTTCTTCTGTCTCTCTTTCTAAAATATCCTTTGTTCAACTTTCTGGTTGATATTCTTGCTAGTTATTTACTCAGAAATTATCTTTGCCATCATGTCTATTATCTATTTCTAGTTGACCTTTGTTGCCTCTAAGTTGGTTATCTATTATATCTTCTTCATGACTATCTATTTCTTTTCTATCTTCTTCATCTCCTTTACATTAGCTATTCATTTTTATTATATCTTCATTGTCTCTAAGTTGGCTATCTAGTTGGTTATCTATTCCTATTCTATTTTTATCATCATTTCTATCTACTTCCATTAGGCTTTCATTAATTCTTATTGCTAATCAGCCTTTATTTGATTGTTAATTATCTAAAGCAAACTTATTTTGTTTTCTTTCTTCAATAATTTCTGTAAAATAGTCTTAATAGTATCATTATGAACCTTTATATAGTTTCTAAGTGAAGTTTTATGAAAAAATTTTTTTATACAATTTGGATATAGAAAACGTATTTTTTTTTTTCTAAAAAAGTACTGTATATAATACTTAATGATTAAGAATTAAATATGATTAATTTATAGCATATCATTATATATTATTTATTATTTTATCAAATGTAATAAAGAAACTATTTTTTAGCTTAAAAAATCTATAATTATTATAATTTATCAACTTGTGAAACAAAAAAATGCTTCTTAGAAAGCTTTTTTTAGATACTATTGGTATTAGAAAAATATTATAATAACAATAATAATAGATCTGTAAAGTTACAAGCAAATCAAAAACTATTCTAAATAAGAATATCAAGGGTTAAGAAAAAGAACTGTTATCTCATCAAGATTCAATCATATTTAAGGTTAATATATTATTTAATATGAAAGTTACTTAAATTGTTAAGAATTGATTAAATGATATCATACACCTTAACAAAATTTGTTATGAAAAGATAAATTAATTACTAGAATCTATAATAATTTTTTGTTTGTAGAATTTAATAACATATCTAAATTTGGGATATTATAGCAAATTGAAGAAATATTTTTTATAAATTATATATTTTTTTTATTATTACAAATCATAAGACATGCATATTCGTAAATATACGAGCCAACTAACTAGCAAATATAGATTATGAAAATACAATCATAATTTCTGTGAACTTGTAGCTACATTGCAAAGAGTAAATATTTAAAATAATTAAAGGATGTTATTTCATTTTCAGAACATTGAACAATAAGTAATTTACTAATAACTTATTTACTACTATAGAATGATGTAATTATTAATAAAATCAATTAATATGTTAGTTAATGCATTATTATTTAATTTATGCAATTCTAATATTTACTATTATTACGTAGTCAAATTACTTACAATGGTAAATAATATATAAATAAAGAATTTCTTTATTTTATTAAATTTAGAAAATATGATATATAAAAAAAAAGGCAAGAGAACCAATTCTGATACCTTCTCAAACTTTAATACTTTATAGTGCTCTAGATAACCATCAGATGAGCAAGGTGTAAAAGCCAATAAATATAGATTATTCAAACTGACTTTGCTTATATCAGCCTTGTTGTCTGCATCAATATCATCTATTTCTTCAGTTACAACTACATTAGTTTCATCTGCATCAGCTTCATTTGCATCAGCTTTATCTGCATCGACTTTACCTTCAACAACAACCATTGCATCACCATCACCAACTAAAAAAAAAAATGTTAACTTTCAAAAAGAAGTAGGTTATTTCATTTTTTTTATATATATTCTATTAGTTATAAAATTATCTAATATAATCTAATTTTATATAATATAGCCTCAAGTCATCATTTAGCCTTCTCTGTTTGCTACTTCTAAATATGAAAAAACTGCTGAAATTTCAAGTTCATAATTTTTTTTTTCTTTTTTTTTTTTAAAAAAAATATATAATATATTTTTTAATCTATTATATATATTTTTTAATAGCTCAAGCTATTTTTGATTAACGTACTTTAACCAAGGTTCTAAGTATCACACAAACTAATTCTGCAAAGCTTGATTAGCTTGATAGAAACTATGCAAAGCTCAAATACTTAATTAGAGAACAACAAGTGCAACTTGAAGAAATCTTAAAAAAATTTGATAATACTAATGAATTTGATAAATATGGAAGTAAGAGTAAAGGGAAAAAGCTTTCAAACAAAATGACAAATAATTTTTTTCAGATATGGATATCTTTTATTTATATTAATAATGTTGTTTATTAATATCATTATATATATTATATACTTTATATATTACTATACTGTATTAGGATGTAGTCAAACAACTAGCATATAAGTTATTCTATAACTATATACAAATTAGCAATGAACAAATAAAAGAACAACTTCGAGATATATTGAAAAGTAATGATAAATATGCAGAACAACTGTAACAATTAAAGGATAAAGGTATTACATATAACAAGTTGTAAAATAATAAATTATATTCAGAAGTAGGCTATCTTCATCCAACTTTCTTTATATATAAATGTTGCCAAGTGAAAGTAAGATTTCAGAATCAATTATATTTTGTACTAGGCATAATCTCTAATTAGAGATTAATACTCAGTACAAAATATAATTGATTCCAAAATTCCACTTTCACTTGGAAGCCTCATATAAATATTAACATTAATTATAAATATATATTAATTTTATTTAATGTATACAGATGCTTGTAGCAAATAGATTAAAAAAAGGATACTATATTAGATGCATCAAAGAAGGGTTATGAAGTACCTTTGGAATTAGTAAAATTAAACTATTTAGTAAAAATAATATGAAAGTACAAATGAAAAATTGAAAAAAGGATTCCAAGAAAGCTTATGATGATTTGTATAACCCTAATGATCTGTTTAATCCAAATTTTGACACATTTCTTTCTTTAATTATTAAATATGTCTTTGTTTCTAAAGACGAATGAACTGAAGCTAATGCCGTCTAGACACAAGCAGTTCTTGAAGTTATCTTTGATGAGGAGTACCTTTCAACAAAAATTGATTCAGATACTGTTGATATATGGATTCAGAAGCTTTTAAATGATAAAGAAAAGAATAATGAAAATATATATATATTAGTTGTTATTAATTTAAAAATTTTTATTTATATATATATTTAGGATACTGTTGCTCAAAATAGTTGAATAAGCTTTTTCGCATCAGAAGCTGAATCTTTAAATGTGATTCAAGATAATTATAATGATTTATCAGAGTCAAATATAAGTGATAGTGAAAATTATAATAATAATAGCAATTATGAAGAATAATATTTTTTATTGCAATTAATAAAATGTATTTATAATAAATTAGTGCTAAAGAATATTGCAATTAATTAGCATATTATATATTTGTTTTTTTTTTTTTTTTAATATTAAGGTGACCACTTAGGTCCCCGGCACTTAGCTTTATTCAGATAAATATGATATTA